TTCTTAAGGCTATGAGTTCGTTACCAAGTTCGTAAAGGGAATCGTCCAGAGAGACGAAACATACGACTGTCTCAAGATGTTTCGGACGACGGGCCGAAGAAGAGTCGTTCTTTGCCATATGAGTCGAGGGGTTAAAAAGGATTGTCGACACCTTACCTTTGTCTAAACTCTTTGATTCAGTAGGAGCAGATGCTACTCGTATTGGTTGCTCGCTTTTGGGTTTCTAATCAAAGGGCACCATGCTATCACATGTCGTACGGTGCTGCACTTGAGACACTGGCGGTTGTCCATCTTGGACTGTCATTCTTCTCGTGTCATGCCCATCTTTTCTCAGGGCTTTCCGAACGTGATGTCAGGATGCTCGGAAAACGAGCGTGGCCTCCTCTTCTTTTTCCATTGACTTTGGCCTCCCTTGTTGCCAATTACTGTAGCGACGTCACCCTTCTCAGACTCGCTGCCGCTATTATCTCCTCCTCCCTCAGACTCGTCGAGGGGTAACTTCTTCACGGTATCTACATAAAAAACAACAAGCATATGGTCTTGGCGTTTTCGTCCCTAAATGACCCACTTACAGTACCCACCAACCGGTCTCGACTTTACCACCAAAGCATACGTATCTTTCACCTGTGCGGTCATTTGCTCCCGTTGGAGAGCAAAATCTCGAAATTGCTAGTAGTTATACGTACCAGACTTAGCTTCGGCCACGAGCTGTCCGAAAATGGGTTCAGGCAGAGCAAGTGAATAAATATATAAAACCTGGTTGTCCTGTAAGTTTAACCTAGGTACCTGCAAGAGACGGTCCACTTCATGTGAAAACGCATCAACGGAAGTCCAACGCTTTTGACCTATCGTGGTGAGTTCATCAAAAGCCTTCTCGGTCATCGTCTTATCAAAAAACCTTTCCTTAATCTGTTGAAGAAATAGCTTGAGTCTTGGCCCACTCACTGATGTCTTCGAAACCAGCAGCGTTAGCTTCAGACAATACCCATTCCCTGGTCACTCCTCCTAAACACGACGTGGAGAAAGTGACCTGACTCTCAGGCTCGACAAGTGCGGTCCCACAATAAGTTTGGATTTCCGCAATCCACGACAATAAATTTTCGTCTTTCTTATTGTTGTATGTGAACAATAATTTCATCTTCACTTTCTCTTTCCTTTTCGGCTTTTCTACTTCTTTAACCGGTTCTTCTACCTTAGCGAGTTCTTTTTTCTTCTCTGCCGGTTCCTCAGGTTCGTTCTTGGAGGTTCCGGGTCTCTCTGGTGTTACCTTCTTCATTGCATCTTTCATCAACTTGTCCTGGGGTTCTACCTGTTCTTTCCCCTTAGCCTCTTCCTCAACTGACACTTTACCTTTCCCTTTTACTAATCTCAGTACCGTCTCCAATGTGGCAGTGTTACAATCAATCTTTAGCTCAAGGTGTGCCAGATAGGCCATCAACTTATGAAGGACAAATGCAAGATCAATTTTTGTTCTTTCAATATGAAACTGTTGTCTAATTTCTGTTCTTTCTCGCTGTTCTTTCTAATCTTTATCCTTCGGTACTCATCCATCTTTCTCTTTTCCGTAGTTAGTGTCTCTTTCAATTGTCTGATGTTTGTCATCATCACCTCCTCAAACAGTTCAAGCATTCTCACATCTTCTTTTCTTTCTTCTTTGATTTCTCCTTCTTTTGGCACGTCACCAACAATCTTCGCCAGCTCCTCTGCGACGTATTGATCAAGGGTCATTCGGCCCTGGTCAATAGTCCGCTGCACTCTCCCGCTGGCCTTCATCATATGAACAGTCGTTTCAGAATACCGTAGCTCGGTTTGCGCGACACGCAAATCAAACTGGCTGCGTACATGCTGTTCAACCGTGAATCCAGCCTCGTGCAACTCATTCTGGAGCTGTTGAAGACGGCCCAACATCTGTTGCTGTCTGCTTTCAATCTGGTCACATGTTTGGATTCCACCTTCCTCATCAGCGAAGAAGGTGACAGAGATAGATAAGAGAAAGTAAGGAATGAAGCGAGTCAGAATGGAGAGACGCAGGGAGTTCCAAAGGTAAGACATCTTCAGACGATGTGTTTACCGCACAATAAATAATAACAAATGAATGATAAATTCCACGACCACACCGGGTTTCAACTTACTACAACAAGAAATAAATAAACAGTTCAAAAGAACAGAAATCAATTTACTCTTAATCTAACTTTAGCTGTCTGATCTATGTGTGATGACATCCTACACGAGTGTATAGGTACCGCAGCCACGGCCAATGTAATCAAGACAACAACACACAGGTGAGTATGTACAGCAACCACAAAACACCCAACAGGTGAAGGTTAGCCAACACAACAATAACAATCAATGGTTAGCCTTCCTTTCTCTACGGCTGTACTATCTGCAGAACCAATGCAACGAGACACAAGGGTCGACACAGGACACTACAGCAAATCGTGAAGCCGTACCGTCTGCCAGCACACAAGTGCAAGATCTAACACCTCACCCGCAACAGAGTGTCACGCATGCCACGTGTCACCCCTGGAATGCCAACACAGCAGCTCTATAGAGTCTGCCACGTCAGCATCACGGACCTGGAAGGTCTTATGAGGGGGATGCCACATCAGCAATGCACATCTGCAAACACATATAACACTGGCATGCCACATCATCTCAAAGTATGCAGCACTTCATTAGCAGGCAATCGCGACACAGGTAAGTGCCACGTCAGACCATGCCCTGCCAGTAGAGAATGCCGCATCAGCATTCCCACGTCATGTCACGTAGGCAGCACGCCACATCAGCAATCCCAATATCCACACTCTTTGTCTCCTGACCAGCGCCACGTTAGCCTGTTGCCACTGAAGCTCTCGCCGGTATCCCGATGTCTTCAGTGTGTCCACGTCATCACCTTCAAGGGAGGCTACACGCACGTGCAGTACTCAATGTCTAGACTTGCGGTATTGGCCGCGCTCGTTAATAAACGCGTTTCATTCCTGCACGTGCCGCACCTCCCACTTACCTGGGTGCCGCGTCAACACCTGATAGCAGATCGCGATGAAGGAGGTAAGCTCCGATACCAAATTGTAATGAACCTTGACTGGAAGATACTCGTCAGGCGTCGAAGTACAGGTAGACTCAGATCTGCACAATGTCTCCAGTTAACGTGAAAGTGATACCTGATACAGTATCTCGTTACCAATAGACGAAGAGAGTGGAGGGGGAATAGACAGAGGAGAGGGTGGAAAAGATAATCAGTGACCACTCAAGAGCAGTTCCCACTCCTTCTCCGGGCTTCCTCTCCCTCTACGTCATGAATCAATAAACTGTAACAAGTCTGATAAGTCCTGATCACATAGAAGTGCTGCGTGGCACTATTCTCCCATGGAGACAATAAAGACAATCAGCAACGTACAATATCGACATCAGCCTCAGGTAAGTATCCCGTCCCTCAATCGTCCACAGATCCCAATCTCCCTCCTTATCGCAACCAGTCACCTCATGTAGACACCGTGGCCAGTGACACGTCAGCAGAAGAGACAGGTGGCATGCGCCACATCAACAATGAAGACAGGTGGCAGCGTCACATCAGCAATGCAATGTACACAGGTGGCATGTGCCACATCAACGATGTAGACATGTGACATGCACCACATCAGCAATGTAGACAAGTGGCATGCGCCACATCAACAATGTAGACAAGTGGCATGCGCCACATCAGCAGTGTAGACAGGTGGCAGCGCCACATCAGCAATGCCCGGTGCACAGAGCAGAAAGCGCCAGCATGCTGCCACAGTCCCGCGGCGTCGTCCACAGTGCCAGCGCACAGCCAGCGTCGAGTCAGCATCCAGCCAGCGTCAAGCCAGCATTCAGCTAGAGTCAAGCCAGCGTCGAGGCAGCATAGCAAGACTGCATGCTTACCACCTGGAGACCAAGCCTTATGTAGTATTTGACGAGACTGTCTGGCCTCAGGTTTCCTTCTGACAGTCGTACAGATTGACTCACAGCTGAGGGCCTGGATTGTATACAGTTGCAGACTTCTCCTTGGTCCTGATGCTGTCTGGGTACCTGCAAACAAACAAGTGTGTGCGTCTGACCAGCGGCCTGGGATGGGTACACTTTGAGTTTGACTGTTGGGTGTCCGACAGTTGACTGTAGTCAACTGTCACTCGTCCAGACCCTGAATCTCTACGTGGGGTTCTTTCCGCCACTTTGGCCTGGGTCTGAGTGCGGCCTGGCGAGGCCCTTAGACTTTTCCACGAGGCATACTACATGGGTTATTGCATGAACAAAAATGTGACTAAAAAGACACTCATAGCCAATTGCGATTTTCGAAAATAATGTGACCATGATGTGACAAGAACCTGACGAGAAGAACGATACCAATTGTGACTGAAATGTGACCAGATTCACCAGAATATGACCACAGTTTGACCACAACGAGAGTAAACGTGACCGAAATGTGACTTCCATACGATCAAATGCCATTGGGATTTTTACATGACCAAAAAGCAATTTCCGTATGACCAAAATGAAGAGAAACTATGACCAAACTGAGACCAAAGTGCAGCCAAAGTGCAGCCAAAGTGCAGCCGAAGTGCAGCCAAACTTAAGCCGTCAGTACTTCCTGAAGTTGTGCTCGTTAACAAGCCACAATTCTAGGAAACGTATGGGCCACTACAGGAGTGCCCAGATTCATCCGACTAGTACTGGTGGTTTAAGGTGAAATATGAACAAAATGTGACTGACAGTCGATCGAATGACAGAGATGCAACCAAGATATGTTTGAAATGGAACCAAAACAAAGACCAATGAAGCCACTGGCCAAAAAAAAAAAAGAAAAAAGAAAAAAAAAAAAAAAAAAGAAAAGAACAAAGAATGGGACCAAAAAAAAAAAAAAAAAGTGACCAAAATATTACCAGCAAAACCGAGATCCAAGTAAGACAAAATGAGACCAAATTGTCACTGCATCGCAACCTGAATGTGACCAAGATGAGGCCCAAGAGCAAGCAATGAAGGCGAAATATGGCCAAAATGAGACCAAAACGAGACCAAAAACCAAATGAGACCCCAAATTGTGACCAAGATGAGTCCAAATTGTGACCAAGAGTGAGAAACTGCATTTTCGTTAAAATTGAGTTTTTCTTCCGTTTCGCATTTTGTACTTGAGTGACCTGAATAGGTCATTTGGCTTATCCGGCAAGCGCCATTTTTTGGGATGAGTGATCATCCATGAGACTGCCCCTCACCACGAAATATGTCCCTCATCGGACAAGCCACTGAAATGATCTCTTCAGCCCACTCAAATGAAAACGCAGTTGAGCGTCTGTGAGACCAAGATAAGACCAAATGGTGACCAAGATGAGGCCAAAAAAGAGACCCAAATGAAAAGAAGATACGACGAAACTGTGAGTCAGACCAAGATAAGACCTAAACCCTAAACCAAAACAACACTGCGACATGACCGAATGTGATCAAAACATGAACAAGATGGACCCAAATATGACCAAAACGCGATATCTAATCATATAAGCAAACCGCCCACACATAGGCACTCAAGAAATCCCAGGCCAAGATTAAACTTTGGCAATGCAGCGTAAAATGTGTGTCATCTTCACCCCCGCTCCCTTTTCCTCCTCCTCCCCTCACTCCTCTCCCTTCCTGAAGAACACCGATCATGCAATGGGATTGCACTCCTGATGAATATCACCGTAAACATGTAAAAGCCATATACACTTTCTACTATAAGGGTGGCCGAGTACATGTCGTCAATCCTCGTACGATTACTAATTTACTATGTCTTCTGAAGACAGCATTACCATATCATATCTAAGGGTAAATAAAGTAGCCGTCCTAAATTTATGAAGTTGTTCATTAAATACATGACATCAACACTCCTTTTGTTATTCTTCTTCTTCTTCTTCTCGTTCTTGTTCTTGTTCTTCGTGTTCTTCTTCTTTTTCTGCTTTTCTGAAGGGGGATAGCCTCTATCATTATTGCATCCATCAGGATTTAAAACCTGAAGTTTGAACTCTGGACCTGTTTGATCAATGGTCAGGACTGTACAATGCCCAAGAACTTAACGATAACTGCCAGAACTGAGATACCAATGATAATGTATAGGAAGTAGTTTGGCGTCGGCTCGTCGGGGCTGCCTCCCCATCCAACGTACTCTTTGCGTATCTTCTCTCTCATCTCTGGTGATAAGCCATCCTGTAGACAAAGAGGGAAAAAAAGTCACAACAGAAAAAAGAAGAAAAGAGAACAGTGACATACACAGCACCAGATCAATACATAATACATATGTGGCATCATCGTACAGAATCTCGTCATCATCGTCTTAACCATCGTGGCGCTGGGGTGCGGTGAAGTTTGCATTGCCGGGCTTCACGGCATACTCAAACTTGGTCTTTCCTGGATCGATCTGACCCTAGTTATGCCCTGTTCTGGATGCACCTGGCCACTTTCTTTCTATCTTTTTTTTTTTTTTTTTTTTTTTTTTTTTTTTTTTTTTTTTTTTTTTTTTTTTTTTTTTTTT